AATTCTCTCACAATCATAAAATTAACAATCCAATGCTAAAACAAATTAGTTCTAGCTTTCCCATTTAGAAAAACTTGTAACACCGAATGACTAATATTTTTGTAAAACATTTCTGTAACTGATGCCTTAAAAGACCATGCTACAGAATATAGTGTTCTCCATGTTTGAGGGCATCATCTCCACTGAGCAAGAACTAGCAGCACCTGATAACAACACTTTAAAATACTCTATCAAACATACACATACGCACACAAATATATACATGTACCTACACACATATAGGATACAACAATCAACACTTAAGAGCTCAACTTAGACTCAATATCATTTCATTTTGCTATTTAAAAATTTTGTGATAGGGTTAAAGATATGGCTCAGTGGTTAAGAGAACTGTCTGCTCTTGCAGGAGACCTGGGTTAAGTTTCCAGCTCCAACATGGCAGCACACAACTGTGTGTAACTCAAGTTCCAGGAGATCTGATGCCCTCCTGAGTCCTCCACAGAGATTATGTGACACAGATATACTTACATACATTCAGGCAAAACACTCATACACATACAATAAAATAGAATATTTTTAAAAAAAGTAGTAATTGAAATAATTTTCAAGGAGAATAATAAATGGCTTTTATTTTTTTTACATGCCTTTAATCAAGGCAAGCTTGGTCTACATAAAGTATCCCAGGCAGTCTCAGGCTAAATAGTGAGACCTTATCTCAAAAAAAAAGTTATTGTTTTTCTATGTTCTTTTAAAGGTTCTAGACCTAACTAGCATTTACAATAGACTTAACTGGGATTGCTTAACTTTCTTCCTTAAATATTACTTAATTCTTGCCCAGATTTTAAAAATATGAAACAAGATTAAACATAGAACCTTTGAAAGGACACAGAAAAAAAAATACCAAGTTTTAACCTATTCTTTAATTGTATATAATTTCATGTCATGGATGATCTCAGTGACCCTTGTTACAGAAGACTTTATCACATTATCCAGCCATAAAGAAAGTGCATTCCAAATATAACTTAACCAAACACAAGACAATAAGCCCTAACATAAACACTGATCTCACAGACCTAGCATGGTATACCTAATCCAAAGAGAAAGAAGGAGAAAGAAAGCCTGGAGGAAGGACACAAATCATTTATTTCTCCAAAACCTGGCCCAAGAATCTTGGTGACAAAAACCATCTTCTGACAATTTCTGAAAGAATGCTTTAAGGATTTTGAGGGAAAAGAATAAAAATTAATTAAGCCACAATAAAGAATGAGAACTGTATTTATGGTTAAACATTATTAAATGCATTTATCATTTATATGGAAGATTCATATGTTAATTTCTACTTTCCTTCTAAAAAATCCTTAGACCATGATGGATTAAAGCGACATTCCTGTGTTTGGTCCTGGACTTATTTTTTCAGAAGTTTCATTATTTGGGAACTCTGAATCCTCACCCACTTTGCCTATCTCATCACATTCACTTTTAAGGACTTTATCACTCACTAACGATACCAGAGTCTCCCTCTCCAGATATATAATAAAACAAGTGAAGTCCATATTCTTTATGAAAGACATTTTCTCCAAGAACCATGCTACTAAACACTAGAAAGTTCAGTACCAGGGAATGTGCATAAAGTCTTGTAGTACCTGTGCCAATTAGGCTCTGGGGGCATACAATGAGTTGAGGGGGTTTTACCATCCTCCTTTGAATGGATATAACAATTTCTGAGTGAAACAGAATTAGTGACATCCCATGTAGACCACTGCATGTAGCTGGCATATCAGGTCATTTACAGGAGCAAAGAAAACAACAAATAGATTAAGCAGGAGTATGTATTACTGTACAAAGACCATTTGCACTGGGCCAGACAACAGCTCCATAGAGCTATGTTCTATGCACTTGTAACCTCCCATAACCACGGCCACTCACAGAAAAAACTACTCTCCCACCCAGAATCCTTAAATGAGGAAAGAAAACTTTCTCAGAAGCCCCACATCAGACCTGCCCTCCTGAACTATATGTCCACATCCTAGGAGATTCAAAGAATACCAGTCCCTAATATAATAACGGTTGGAAATTGTTAATAATCCTTCTTCAGTGCAGAAATTCAGTTTTATTATTTAGTCACCTAAATAAACTCAAATTTACTAAGGTGGTGTAAATAAAAAGTTTAATAGTATTTGTAGTATCCTATTCTAAAAAGTAAATTTGTTGGGCCTACTTTTAGGTTACTTTTTCTAAAGCTTTTTTTTTTTTTGTCTTTTTAAAAAAAATTATTACATTTATTTGTGGTGCTTCCATGCACACATGTGCAGGTTCCATGGTGCACATGTGGAGATCAAAAGACAACCTGCTGGAGTTGGTTATCTCTTTCTACCATGTGGGCCCCAGTGATTGAACTTGGGTCATTAAGTCTGGTAGCAAGTGCCTTTATCTGCTGAGCCATCTCACTGGCCCTCTAAAGCATTTTTTTTTATTTATTTATTTTTATTTTATGTGTATGCATGTATTGCCCGCATGTAGGTAAGTGCACCCATATAGTGCAATGCCCGCGGCAGTCAGGAGAGGCTGTCGGATCCCCTGGGACTGGGGTTACGGACAGTTGTTAGCTACCATGTAGGTGCTGGGATTGGAACCCAGGTCTTCTGCAAGAACAACCAGTGTTCTTAACTACTGAGTTGTCTCCCCAGCCCCCCTCTAAAGCATTTTTAAATCGACTTCAAATATGAACATTATTTTCCAAAAAGTACTAGTTACAAAAAAAAAAAACCTCTCCATCTTCTGTAGAGAGACCTAGAGTGAAACCTGATTTTGCCCTTCTCAGTAGTAGCTTTACAGTAGTCAATGTAAGTAAAGTAGCAGGACAAAGTCTGAACCTAGACTTAGTAAAACGTGTTTCTACTTCCACAGCATAAATGGCTGATCAGTTTGAACTCCAAATGTTAACCACCTGCTAAGTTACTAAGTAGTCTTCCTAGGAGAAGCCAGGCACTCCACATACTAATTAAATGAATCTGTGCTACACTCACACTTTAGACAACAAATATATTCCAACCCTGATCATTAATTACCTCCTCATAAATAAATTCCAAACCTTAGTTTAGAATGACTAGACAATTCAAGTTTAAAATGAGTGAATATAAACCCAAATAGAATCTACTATTACAAAGTTCAAATAATTTTGATATTTTCTTTTGTCTTTATATTATCTCAAATTCCAGAATTAAAATGCACTAATACACAATGTTTTCTAAACCAGCTGTAACTGGTAAAACCTATCCTATTATAATTATATTTAATAAGTTCATGCTTGTCAGATCTCTAACAGAGTAGTCTTTCTTGGCTATTCCACAAGAAAGAATTCACTATGTTCACTTACCCAGCTTTGGATTTTGCACATCATATTTACCTATGTGTTTTTACCTATGTGCTGTATTTCAGTTATGAATACCCCAGATGGCTACATAACTCACAATGATAAGCACTTTGGTACCCATCTCTGATAGCTAGAATCCTGGATAGCAAATAGTGACACTCAGTAAGTATGTGTTGAATAAATGAACATCTTTTAAAAAATATGAAATCATCATAGTATATTTGTGTATGAGGTACTTAATATTGTTGAGTATGGTAAAATTGGCAAATGTTATAATGATTTCAATGGCTAGAACAATAAACCATAAAGAAAAAAAAAAGTACTGCTACCACAAGAGGCAGTCACCAGTTTAAAATGATCTAAAAATGGAATAAATAATTTAATGGTGATAAAATGCCTAGAGGATATAGGAATTCACATTTTACGGATGAAAAAAATAAGATCAAAGTAGCAAAACAAAATGCCAAGGCTAAACAGAATTAGTAAACAGAGCCTAAACAAAACAAAGCATTCTAACTCCTAAATGACAGCTAAGTATAATTAAGAAATAAAAGCACTATTACAACAGTGAACACAGAGTTCATCTTTAGGAGGCTAGAAGAGGCATAGCACTCAGTGATTTCTCTGAGAATGAGGCTGCCAACATATGAGATATGTTTAAAAATTAAACATCACTTGAGTCTTTCTTCCAAAAGAAATATCTCTGCGTTACTGACTGGTCTAGTAGATGAATGGAGTCAAAGTATAAATAACTTATGTTCTTATAATCTGGCATTAGATTAAAGCATTCAGTGAAAACCAGTGTGATAAACTACTACTTTCTGATCCTAATTTAAATTCAGTCAAAATCATTCTCTATTATCTTCCATTTCTTCCTTGGCTTCTATTTTTATATTTTTCATACAATTCATTTGTTCACAATTTCTATATGACCAATCAAGCTCATTAGTTTTTGATGGAATAAATGCAACAGCTTCTGTGTACCATTCATGATTTCTTAGACACTTAGTCATTTCTTCTACCCATGCTCCATATTTCCCTGGAAAACTGCACACCATGGGGAGGCACAATGTGCCATTCAATACCAACATTATAATGTACTACAAGATGATCTTACTACAGGAAAATACACAGGAAAATATGAAAACGACTATTATGAGTCCAAACCTAAGTAGGTAGAGGAAAAATCTGTCACACCATTCTACGATACAAATGTTATCTCTGTTTATAAGTGACATTGCAGGGGTTGGTGACTTAGCTCATTGGTAGAGCACAAGCACAAGGTCTTGGGTTCGGTCCTCAGCTCAAAAAAAAAAAAAAAAAAAAAAAAAAAAAAAAAAAACGAGAAAAGACAAAATGTAAGTGACACTGCAAATCAATAACCAATCTTAATTCACTAATAAAGAAGGTCTCAGGGTAGACCACGGCACTGGACAAAAAACAAGAGTTTAAGAGTTATGGGAATTATTTTAAGCAAATTTATTATAATACATGTTTCTAATTATGCTTTCAGAAGCCTTCTGATTGCAGCTGTGTACAAACTTAAGCACTTCATTAGACAAATGCATTGTTCTCCATACTATAGCACATTGCAGCATTATTTTTTCAACTTGACAGTTTTACTTACTGTCTTAGAAGCAGTATTAATGTACTGCATCACCATTTCTTTTTTGATACTGAAGTCCTTTTCCCGCAATGGAGCCTTTTTATCTTCATTTAAATTCATATCTTCCTGGAAAATACAATTAAAATGCCTGATATTAGAATCTAAGTAAAGTGGCAGCTCTACATACACTCTATGAAAGAGAAAAATCAATAATTTGTGACTAAAACAGCATTAATTGTTTCAGAATGATTTACATGTGGTTCTGCCTGGAGGAAGGAGAACAAGGAGCGCTGGATAGACAGAAGGTATTCTAGATCATTTAACAGGTAATACACTTACCAGAAGAGATTTAAATTCATAGCAGCCTATTAAAATCATATTCACATCACTATAGATAATTAGACAGTTGCAGATTTCTGTCCTTCATAAGGTCATTAGGATTCACAATTTCAATATATTTATTTATTTTACAACAGCTGCACCTGAAGCTATCTTATACTGTTTTGAAAGAGCTACTCTGCATATTATAAAAAGTAAATAAACTACCACCTTTCACATAACACCATATACCTAATACTAATACTGGAAAATGACAAAGTATCCTATGTTTTTAATTTTTCCTGTCTATCCCTATCAAAAATATTAACTAGTTAATTTACTTAATGAGCCATATTATGTAAAAGATTTACTCATGAACGGGACCAGATGAAAGTCTAACAAGTATCCTATACACACGAATAATTTTGATGAAAAACACAAATCAAATGGATCCATATAAATATGAATTGCATAAGCTGCTTAAGAGGTTGTTCTGGTAAAAGAAAACAGGCTAACATAAGACAGAAAGGGCTGAGGGAGAAGGTTAGCTCCAATGATTTCCACCTGACTACAGCCTGGGCCACATACAATATGCTAAGTCAAGCATCTAAATGTATATAAATTCCAGATCTACTCCAAATTGTTAAATAAAACTCAGAACTTTGGATCACTATACAACCCCAGAAAGCTAAATTTCTTTGAAGTTTTACAAATGTGATATAGTCATTCTTTGGAAACCACAGTTTATGCCTTTAGGTGACACCAAACCATTCAAGCACTTCAGAGTCAAAATTCATTTCACCTTGATAGAAAGAAATATTTACAATTATGGGTATGGTAGTACAGACATATAATCACAGAATTCAGGGGGCTGAGGTAAAAGAATCATGAGCTCAAGGTCAGTTTGAACTACATAGTAAGACAATGTAAAAAGGAAGAAAGGGAAGAGGGAAAAAGAGGGAACGAGGGACTAATTTTTAAGATCTTAGAACTTCCAATTTGACATTTTGATAAAAAGAAGTAAATAATTCCACTTCCTGTTCTAGTTAAATATAGGTTATGTAAATAATGGTTTGCTTGCTTCTCTTTTTTCCTATAAGCTAGTGTTTCTCAATGGGTTTTAAGCTAGAAAGAATTTTGAGGGCCTAGGGAGATGGTTCAGCAAGCCATCCACATGGTGGAAGGACAAGTTGCCCTCTGCCCTCCACTCATGTCATGTACTTGCATGCACACATGCAAACACATACACACAAATAAGTGTAATTTCTTTTTTAAAAAAAAAAAATTTTGGCTTTTTGAGACAGGTTCTTTTCTGTTGCCCCAGCAGGCTTGGAACTCACTAGGAGACCAGACTGGCCTCAGTCTCACACATCTGCCTGTACTTCCTGAGTGCTGGGAATTCAGGTGTGTGCCACCACATTCTGAAATTCTTTGGGGGCATCTGGGTGCTTCAGTGAATGAGAGGAAGCTGTCGGGGGTGAAAGAAACAGTGTTCTAGGCATTTCTCAGTTAATTCGATAAAGAAAAGAAAAAAAAAAAAAAAAAAAAAAGGCCCCGCACTTTATAGAGATTCACACACCTTTAAACATGAGATGGGGCCAGCCACTTGGTTCAGAGGATAAAGGCACTTGCTGTGCAAGCCTGGATACCTGAGTTTAATCCCCAGAAGCCACAAAGAGGTGAAAGGAGAGAATGGTATCCACAGAGTTGTCCTCTAACTTTCACATGAATGCTGTGGCACACATGCTCACACACTCATCATGCACTTACACAATAATAACAACAATAATAATTAATGACAGAAAAATTACCTAAGCTCAGACCCTAATTCAATGAAATTGGACATAAAATACAAAAGTGAAAGCACTATGTAAACTGAGTGGTTTTACATGGGTTTACTGTACATCAACTTTTCTAGTAATCTATGTAACCTGAAGGTTATTTGAATATTTTTTTTAAACCAACACCTGTTCTTTTTTTCAGAAACGGAGGAGCAGGGCAATACCATTGGTGGTATGTGAATCCCAACACACCACGCTGGCATCAGTGTACACTGGAGCTGCAAAATTCATTGCAGTGTGAGGGATTGATTCAGAATGCTCCCTTACTGCTACTCCTTAAATAGTTAGGGCCAATTGTTTCTATTTAAATACACAGTGCCACACAGTATAATACAGCATTATATTGATTTTTTTAACTATGAATGTTGTTAGCTTATTATTATCTATTAAAAAATATCTTCCTGGAAGTAAGTCAGGCACAAAAAGACAAATACTGCATGTTCTCACTTGTAAGTGGAAGCTAAGGAGCTGATCTCACAGGAGTTACCTAGGATCTCACAGACGTGAATGATGCTTGCCAGAGTCTCAGAAGGATAGGGAAAGAAGCAAAGAGAAAAGCTGATTGGAGGGTAAAAATTTATTTAGATAGGAGAATTAAGTTGTAGTGATCTACAGCACAGTAGGGTGACGATAATTAATCATTAATATTTTAAAATTAAAAGGAATTTTAAGTGTTTCTAACAACATAGAAATGACAAACGAGGTTCTAGCTATGCTAATTACCATTTGATCACCATACATTGGATACATGCGCTGAATTGACACTGGAGCCTATGACTATGTACAATTACTGCATGACAAACATAAAAAGAATTGAACTGGAAATAATGGGAAAGTTTGAGGATAACTGTTATGAAAGGTGGGGGGGGGACCTGGAAGCTCTGATTATCTGTATTAAAGTATTCATTATATTTGCTTTATTTCCTAATTGCTAGAGATAACCCAGCCTCTATAAACAGCAAATTAAAATATCTAATAGACACAGAATACTAAAAATCAGGGAGTCTATTAGTTGAGCCAAAATTGAATTAAAATATCAAAATGTATAATAAAAAAAATTTAAAGCCACTGCTTTCTTTTCAGAAAGGCATTTCCAAATGACATCAGTTCATACCTAAGAATGGTTGTGATGATTAATTTTAGGTTAGTCCTCTGGCCTGAGTTATAGATAACCAGATGGCTGGTAAAGTAGTACAACACGGGAGCAGGAGCAATGGGAGGTGAGGGGCATTTGTTTCAGAACAGACTGGTCACCTAAATCACCACAGTGATTGAGAAGATTCACCCACCCCCCCAGGGCTGGAGAGATGTCTCAGCAGTTAAAAGCACTGGCTGCTCTCGGAGAGAATCCCAGTTCAGTTCCCAGCACCCACATGGAAGCTAACAATCTTTTGTAACTCCAATTCCAGGGGATACAATGCCCTCTTCTGGCCTCTGTAGGTAATGCATACATGGGTACACTTACAAACAAACAGACAAAAAACTCATACACATAAAATAATAATAAATAAAAAGGAAGGGAAAGGTGACTTCAATCTATCAAACTGAGATACTTTTCTTTCCTTACCATGGTTCTCCAGCCTTCAGACTCTGGAACTTGAGTCTATGTCTACCCCAGTCCCAACCAAAGTTTGTGGGTCCTGGGTCTTTCACTGAGCACCACTGGCTCCCCACTAGCATCTCAAATGTTCCACTTACAGAAGGTTGTAGACTCCATATTCCTGTAAGCCAATCCCTTCAATAAAGTCCCTCTTAACACCAATCCTGCTATGAAAATAACCTGTTAGCGCAGGCATCTCTAAAGAGCCCTAACTAGTATACAGTCGCATTTACATTATAATTCTGTTTTCCTCTTAATTCTAGCAACTCTCTTGTTTAGCTATGAAGTTCATCTTCCTGAGAAAGAAAGATATCAGAGTGCCAATGAACTGTTAAACTGGGGGGGGGGGGCTAGAATTTTAATAACAAAGAAAACTGGATCTAATCAGCTCCCAACATATCCTAAAGCCTGATAAAGCACCTCCAGGAACATGACTGTACCTAACAGGTTATGTTCTCCATCTGTTCAAGAGGAAGCAAGAGATACAGGAGGGAATTGAGACAAAAAAAAAAAAAAAAAAAAAAAAAAAAACCATACCCAAGGATAAAGTGCAAAATTTTTAGACCAGGTTTTTAATCTATGGAGACCAGGGCTAAAGGAAGAAAACCTCCTGAAGCAACAGCATGTAACTTCTAGGAGTAATGAAATCCTTGAGAAACACAAGGGGAGCTTTGTCATGGGAACTGCAAATCTGTATTTTGTGTTACAACTCTAGAGGGATTTAAGTCTCTAACAGGACACTATCCAAAACCTGAGCTGAGGCAGTTCAGGGAGATGATTATCAATTTTCACATTTCTTCATGAATACAGTTCATACTGGCTAAAAATGATGAAAGTTTACTCCATTGTTTCAAGTGAGGCTCCCTAAAGGCAGAGGCTAAGAGAGAATCAAATGCAGGTGATTTATGGAGATGATCTCAAGATAACTGAAGTGAAGGGAACAAAACAGAGGCAAGACAAATACCCAATGTGGAGGACTACTTCCATTTGAATGCACCACAGTCAGGACTTAGGGAGACCAGCCTCAACACCCTCAGGTGTCCAGGCCTTGACATTAAGGTGCTAGTTCTTCTGGAGAAGGCAACATTAAGCCATTTGGGGAACACACTCATCAACTAGGATACAATAGACCAGTCTGCTAAAGAGAGGTGAGGAGAGGTTCCAACCAGCACCCACTGTGACATCTGAAAAGAATTCCTTGACATTAAAACTTCTAGGAGAACGCAGGGGACTGCCTGAGAACACCCAGATCTTGCCTCCACATGGTGGTGAGCTGCTCCTAACTGCTCTATACCCATCCCCAACCTGGGATTTCTTGAATACACTCCCAAGGACCAAGGGCAGATCTGGCTTTGGTAGACCAAGGC